CAGCACGCCTCTTGGGTTTATGTAATCTATGATCACTTCCACATTCAAAGCAGAAATTCAGGCTGACCTTCTCTATTGGTTTATCCTTCTCATGATCCTGTTTTGGAAATCATAAATAAATTTGGATATCTCTGAATGAGACAGTAAGAGAAGCATGGGGCAGATAAGAAGAATAACAGCGAGGAAGTAGAGAAGCATGGGGCAGATAAGAAGAATAACAGTGAGGAAGTAGAGAAACAAACAACCATTGAGTGGAGTGGAACAACCCTTAAGAAAGCCCTTAAAGAGCTATAGCAAGGGGAGGAATGCAAGCCATGTGTAGAGGGGTGGGGCCAACATGATTTATTTGTCCCAAGAGTAGGGTGGGACTTCCGTAAGAGGCAACCAATGATGGTGAGCACTAGGCAATTTGGGGAACTATAAAAACTCCTAGTGGCATGAGTAGACTATTCAACTGCTGGACAGTTCAGTGGTTGGGAGTTCAGTTGCCCATTGTGTCTCCTTGACAGGAGCTGGACTCAATGATCCATAGGATCCCTTCCAGCTCTGCACTTCTGAGATTCTAAGATAATTATAGTTCATGGAGTGGGGCACTAGTAGGTGTGAGAGCGTACATGCACACATGCACATAGTTATTATTACTGGCCATTAAGTGCTGTCAATACAACATTATGATGACCATCTCAGAGTTCTTCAGATTTTTATTTATTTCTTTGTACAGACATGTTGCAATGTACAAAAGGACTGTGTCAATATTCACTTATAAGGCATTTAAAATATTAAAAGAAAAGGCAGATATAATACAGTAATACATGATTGGAATGGAATGGCATCCTTCAGTCTCGAGAGACTATGGTAACGTGCTCTGTATGGAGGACTTGGAGAGTGTCCTCTCCAGAGCACGAAGCCTGGTCAGAATAATATGGAGGATAGGCTGTTACCCAAACAGCAAATCCCCCCTCTCCATGTCACTGAAACAGTCCAGGGGAAAGGCAAGAGCCTATACAACTGGTTTCAGCAACGTCACAAGAGTTGACAGAATGACACGAACTGCCTCCAGGACTCCGGCTCCCGATTTTGCCTGAAGGTTAATTCCTGAAGCCTTTTCCATCAGTGGATATAGCTACAAGGCAACAGAGGTTTGAAATCTGAATTTTCCTTCTCCTAGATGGGCTGCCTTCCAAGGCTGACGAGCCCCGCCTACATTTCATGCTAGATGAGCTATTTCTCTGTCTAGAACAGGGATCAGGGATGCTCATTACCCCCAGGATTTTCACTTTTACCCAGTTTGGGGTAATTACCCCTGTTTCCCGACCTATGGTCTAGAATAGTGATTCTTAACCTTTGTTACTCAGGTGTTTTTGAACTGCAACTCTCAGAAACCTCAGCCAACAGAGCTGATGGTGAAGGCTTCTGGGAGTTGCAGTCCATAAACATCTGAGTAACAAAGGTTAAGAACCAGTGATTGTTCGAATGTACTTATGTGCATGTGTAACAAAGGTTAAGAACCAGTGATTGTTCTGAATGTACTTATGTGCATGCGTACAGTATCTACTTCCTTGGCATTATATTTAACAACAATTTGTTTTCATATTTTGTAATGGCTGATGTATCTATCACCTAGATAGACTGGCAGCAGAGTGGATTTGATTTAAATTAAAAAAAATCAGTTGATTTTATCCATCCTGACTGGCGGATATATTGAAAATTCAGATGTGGAGCTGCTACCATGTTTCAAGTCTCTAATGCCAAAGAAACAATCCTTTGCAATCCTTGCAAAAATAATACCAAGTCACAGACAAAGTCACAGAAAGGATTTTTCTCTTAACCATTATAGCCATATTTTCTCAGGAGCGTTTATTTTCTTTTAAAAACAACAAAAACTCAAGTATCAATACCCACCACATTGCACAATCTAGGGCTGATGTGTACTTTAGAAAATCATCCATTTGTTTTCCTACCTTGTGAGGGCCTATGTAGAATTTTGAATGTTGTGAGTTCCATCAAAAATGGCTGCAGCGGAGATTGTGCCCATTCACAAAATGGTTGCTATGGCAGGCGTGGAGTTCAGACCATCAAAAAAACATCTGAGACAGAAAGGCACCTTGCCCAGAAACTGATTACAAGGGAGAAGTGGATTCTGAGCCTCAAAACACAAAACCATTAATTTGCAGCTAGCTTTCTACTCCAGCTAAACGCTCGTATTATATTATTTCAAGCCAACTTTCTGTGTCTGCCAGCGAACATCCACAATGCCCATCTGTTTCCCAGGTCGCATATGCACACTGTCAGAAAGAGGGGTGGAGGGCACCACTACCATGATAAACAATAACTGAGCACTGATGCTGATGAAAAACAGACAGGGGTGGGGAGATACAAGGCATAAACTGCTTTACACCAAGCCCTATTGGCCTCACTACCTTTTCCTGCCCTTCTGTTCCACATCTATGGCTCCCACCCCCATGTGTGCAAAGGCAAGCAGACAGCCTGCTGTGGATCGCTGCTGGCCTCTAGGAGAATACTGGTACCCAGAGCATCATCTTTAGGACATCTGGCTATGCCATTTGGCAGACTGATTCCTCCACCTGCCAATATGGAGTTAGTGACTTTAGCCCATTGCCAGATTAGCATTTTCTGATGCAGCCCATGCTACTCTAAAAGTGCAAGGGAAATGCTATACATATCACCTAGAAAATTTATTCCTTTCCTATAGCTCTTATGGCCCTTGTAGACCAAAGAGGAAGGCAAGAGACTGGAAGGTAGTATCTTCTGAACTATTCCATAGCTGCAAAGAGAATGCCTGTCCTTTGATCTTGGACCTGATAGTGGAAGAATGAAATGTGCCCATAACTTCACTAGAAAAGGTACAGGAAAGTATGCAGGTCATATGCAGAAGGCATGTAGCCACACCCGCATCCTAAATGCAGACTACCTGGTCCCATTTACTTTTTACAACCTAACTTCTCTGTTTTATATGCTTGTTCTTTTATGACCTCTGTGATGTGGTTACACATTTGTTCAAGGCAAAAAAAGTGTGTTTGTTAGCAGTAATCCACTGGCAAACTGATGCAGCTGTAGCAGAAATATTAAATAAATATTAAATATTTCGGACCTCCTTTCACAATGCTTTGCCACTGGTCATGATGGCCACGTCCTCTGAGAGTTGAAGTCTAGAATGTAGGAAGAGTCACTGGATTACAACAAGGACAGCCTTTTGTGTTCTCGTGCTCCAGTCAGAGGAAGGGTTCCACTGCTAGATATTCTTCTCTACTTAATTATGGGCCTTCGGTGGAAGCTTCAGTTGATATAAAAGACAGTAGCTAAGCTTCAACACAATGCATGATGCTGAGTGTTTATCCCTCTGATACTGAAAAGTCTAATCAGTTGCTTTCTAGAACGACTAAATATATTTGTCTGGAGTTGTATTTTGAAATTTCACGGCTGACCTTTCCCCAAGATTTAGGTGGCAATTTTTGCTGTGTAGAACCTTCCAATTCAGTTTGTAGATTTATAAAACTTCAGAATGTATCCTGAGCCATGTACACCCCATCCAATCAGATCTGTGCCCCAGATCCAAATTGATTTGCAAATTTGGCAAACCAATGCATTGGAAAACAAAAATGGGCTACAACGTCTTTGGGTTTTCACTGATGCACATGAAATTTAGAGACATTGGGGTGGGGTGGGGAATTTGGCATATTCAAGATCGTGAAATGTGCAAGTTTAAAGTCTGTTTAAAAAGAAAAGAAAATCTCCAGTAGCTTAAAGCAATTGGAAACCCAGTTTCAAATCAGTCTATAAATTCATCCCATCTAATCCTATAACTCCTCCTTTGTTTCTTTGCTCATGTCAGAAGCACCAGAGTGTAATTAATAAACACAACAGATAATTTTTACCCAAAATCGGCAACATCAACAGCATTTGGGGCAGCTGGCATCACGTCTTCCATGGCACATGTTGAGGGGTACAGAGTACACTGACATAGGTATGAACATGCCTGCTCTTGCGAACAGGTTCGTCAGTGTCAAAACCCCATGTTGTTAGGTTCAATTTGGTTCAGCCAAAGCTGGTTTGCAATCTATTCAGTGACTTCCATGTACCCCACTTCTCTGTGGGGCAGCGGCCTAGACTCTCCTGGGGTCTGATCTATTTTAAAAGGCTGATAGTTCCTTCCTTCCACATTACATTCACTGTGGTTCCTTCAAGATTTATAAATATTCTGAAAAACTCTTTCCTTGTTTTCATAAGAATGGGAGGAGGAAAGTGTATGCCTATTCAATGCAGATGCTTTGAGTTGTTCCCTTTTAGGTGCTAAATCTCCCTCTATGTGTTGCTGGGTGAAATACCTGCTAGATAATTGGCTTGATTATTAGGGCTCCAAACATTATGATGGGCCAACATGAGCTCATCAGAAGCACCAACCTGAACCAACATTTTGCCCTAGAATTAAATCTAGCCAGTCCATTGAAAGCCAGACTTCTGACAGATCAGTACAAATCATGCCATAGTTCCAAACTTGGGATTTGCTTGAAACTGATCTGTAGCCCTCATGCTCACTAACCTGAGAGTGCATAATTCCACTGATAAATTCAACAGGGCTTACCTCTGAATAGATACGCAGAAAGCTGCACAGTGAACCCACTAGTTTAAAGGCACCATCTAGAGTCATTTCATTGAAGGACAAAATAGTCACCAGACCCCAGCAGGTGTACAGGTGGTCAAATAAATCACTAGTAAAGAAAAGGATAGAGAAGCCGGGTGGCATTGGGACAAGAATTTGAAATGCAAACATAGAAGAATCGATGGACTATGACCGAAGGAAAGGCGTTGACCATATAAGGCCAAAAGCACAGTAGGCCATGTGTGGCTGAATACATGTCATTTTTAACCGTATATGGTTAACAACAGATTTACAGTCACTTTCAGGCTACTTGTAAAGCTTCTGTCAACATACAAGCGGAAGAATGTGATTAAGGGGAAACAACAGGCAAACTGGGTGGCAGTGGATAAATAGGACCAGGTAGGAGTGAAACCATTTCCTACAGGGTCCACCTTGGGATTGCCCACAAAGCCAACTCTGCCAGCGTCAGGTAAGTCTAAGAGCAGGGCTAAACACCCAGAGTGTTCTATCCTCAGTCTGTTGGATTCATTCGCTCCTCCTCTTTGGCTGGCTGCAAGAAGTTAAGATCCAGGTGAGCTGGACAAAGGACCAGCTGGAGGGAGTTTAGCCTTAAAGGAATTAATTTGGCAATTGCAGGTTTTGGGACTGTGAGCTGGTCTTGCAGTTCAGTCTGGTGGCTAGGTCATGCCTTGGCGTCTCATCCTGATTTGGTCTGGATCTATTTGTGCCCTGGATCCAAATCAATGTATACATTTGCCCTAGAACCGAATTTGTTTGTTCTACTTAGAACCAGACCCATTACAAATCAGTTTGAATCAGGCTGATTCTATTGGCAATTTATGATTTGCCTAAATCTGGCATGCAGCCCTAGTAGGAGCCCTAGAGGAGAAAAGAACGTGTGCATTTGGAATATGGATCCAAGATCTCCATTCTTGATGGAAAAGAGAATCAGAAGAAGGGGCAGATATCTGCTGCTGTTCCTTGGGGAAACAGGACTGCTAGGTCTCCAGACATCAGATGAACTCTGCTCTGGCTATCTGGATCTCTATACAGGGAGAGAAACCCCAAGAGGAATAGTGCTGGAGAATGTGAAGGTTTGGTCTCCGCATGTGAGATAGCTCTAAAGCCTGGATGCACATCTTTGCTCTTTTCTAGCTGACAGCAGCTGACTGACTCAGCATGAAGATATTTCCATGTGTTGTGCTCCAGATCGACTCTCTCCCTAATTCTTCCCCCTCAACCCTGTATTTTCAGAGCACTGATGCTGGGCCCATCATACTGTGTGGAGCAAGGAAGGGGAGCACCAGCATGGTTACTCCTGAGTCTCCTTGTTGCATAAAGCCCCTGGTAGCAACAGCAAAAAGCTAGAATAAGCCTTCTGAGCCTCACCTAGCCTGCCTCTGTGACATCACAAAGTGTCTATTCTATGGCCTCAAAATTTGACTCTGAAATCTCAGGGCATGGGACGCTAATGACCAGCAATCCTACTGGGAAAATGTGTCCATCCCCTTGATATTGTTAAGATTCCAACTCCTTCCAGAATGGTCAGGAGTGATCAGAGCTGGAGTCCACTAACTTTTGGGGGTCCACAGGCTCTCCACACCTGGAGTAGTCAATAGAGCAAGCTACATTCCCATGCCCTTGATTTCTTCCCTTGTCATTGGGTTTGACTAGTTAAATCTTTAGGTCCCTTCCAGCTCTACAAGGCTATGCTTCTACGATGAGCTACCTTGTTTTAAAACCCTATTTGCATTTGGGTGAGTTTGCTGGACAGCTCACTGGTTTAAGTATCTGGGTGGGGAGTTCAAAACCTCACTGTGCACCCCAAAAAAGCCAGGCTGTGTGGCCTTGGGCAAGATGCACAGCCCCAGGATGGCCTCAAAAAGGGAGGCATGGTAAATAACTTCTGAGTATTCCATTTTTGGAAACTCCTGAAAAGGCTCATCATAACTCAGAACAGACTTGACGGCACTCAATTGTTATTTATTAGGCACCTAAAAGTCAAGTTTAAGTTTATTGTATTAGCTAAAAGCCATCACAATTGTTTAAAATACAAATATAATCAAATAAAATCAGAATAAAATCATGGAGATATAAAATAATAAGAGACCTAAAAGTCACTTGTATAGCATATATTTTGTTTGTAAGATGTCCCATGCTTAGTCCCTGGATGAATATTTAGACAATGGGAATAAGAAATTACAAAATCTGTTACAAAAGAACCTGTGTCTTGCCCTAAGGGTGGAGACACTTTTCGGGAACGTGTGCATTTCATATTTTCAAAATTGGGAGAAGAGCCGTGGTGGCTTGGGGAGCTAGGCAAAGTTAGCTTTTTCAAGAATCCCCAAGAGACCCCCTAGTACTGAGAACTGTAGATTAAAAGCTCTAGTAGTGTGTTTCTTGTTGGCCTATAGTTTGTTTCTTGCTGCTGATGTAACCCTTGCTGCTCAGCACAAATCCTAGCTGAAGCATAGGTCGCTTTTGCTCCTTCATCCTCTCACTTTGCTGCCTCCAAGCGAAGAAAGGAAGGAAGCATGCAATGCGTTTGAAGGAAATGAAGCAGGTGTGTGAACCAGCTAGGTTCTATTTTATTGCCAAGATACTGTGATCTGGCACCAGGTCTCCACCATGAAGGTGGAGGGGAAATGCTGCTATGGAGGAAAGTGCATGGATCGAGCTGAGCTATAAGCACGAATACATCTTTACTCCGTTTCTGGCTGGTGAAACAGGTTGCTTGGAAAAGCAACCTCCTTCAACAAGATGCACTTTGAGAAACCCTGGTTGTACCTTTTTTTGTTTGGGCTCTACGTGTAAGTAGGTTTACCTGTTCTGGGGTGCTAGACAGCATTCTAGAGGTGTGCTGTAATATACTGTAGCACCCATTGCCCCACCACATGAGCAAAACTGGTCGGCGTAGTGGGAGTTGTACTCCAACAAAGTTTTGGGGGAGTGCAAAATTGCGGCAAGCTGCTCAAGAGGGGACCACACAGCTGAGTCCCAGAGAGAGTAAAAGCCATGGGATTGGGCAGCTGCTTGAGAACAGAGAGAAACAGGAAAGAAATGGTTGGAATTTCCATTATCACATCACGAGTTCCCACCTCCGTACTGTAATATTTAGTTATTATTTTCCTCCAAATTGCTCAGGGTGGCGAATGTGCTTCTTTCCTCCTTGCCCACATTATCCTCACAGCAGGACACAAGATGCCAGTAGAGTGAGAACATCTCCTTCCAGTGGGCTCTTTGTTTTTCAGGTGCTTGAATAAGTTGCCTTTGGGGACCATCAGTCCCAGAAGCCTTCAGCCAATCCTTCTCCCCTCTCCTGTGGCAATTAGGGTCCTGATTTAAATGCAAATGTCACAGGCTTAGTGGTTTGACTTTTCCCTACTCACACTTCTGCTAAGTCTGAAACCTGTTCTTGCTGGAAGGTGGCCAAAGGCACATCTTTGACCTTATTTGGCTATATTGCAAAATGAAATTATTGGTGCTCTTTGCTCCCTTGGATACAATAGGCGTGTTTATGATATTGGCTTATGGTACACGTGGTTTCCTTGTGTCTTCTGGCAAGAGATAAGCTCCCACAGGGAATGAAGATAAGTAAAAGAACAAATGGACAGGAAATGGAGAAGCAAGAAAAGAAAGATGGGAGTATAACTCCACACTTAGTGGAATTTAGTGTCCACTTAGTGGACAGCATCTTCAAAAGCAGAGACATCACCTTGCCGACAAAAGTTCGAATAGTCAAAGCTATGGTTTTTCCTGTCGTGATGTATGGAAGTGAGAGCTGGACCATAAAGAAAGCTGACCGCCAAAGAATTGATGCTTTTGAATTGTGGTGCTGGAGGAGACTCTTGAGAGTCCCTTGGACTGCAAGGAGAACAAACCTATCCATTCTAAAGGAAATCAACCCTGAGTGCTCACTAGAAGGACAGATCCTGAAGCTGAGGCTCCAATACTTTGGCCATCTCATGAGAAGAGAAGACTGGAAAAGACCTTGATGTTGGGAAAGTGTGAAGGCAAGAAGAGAAGGGGACGACAGAGGATGAGATGGCTGGACATTGTCATCGAAGGGACCAACATGAATTTGACCCAACTTCGGGAGGCAGTGGAAGACAGGAGGGCCTGGCGTGCTCTGGTCCATGGGGCCATGAAGAGTCGGACATGACTTAACGACTAAACAACAACAACAACAACAACAACGGTGAAATTACTGTGGGATTATTGGCCAAGGTGTTATAATAACTGATCACAAAACAAAGTAAGGCAATTTGCTGTGTAAGATGTGAAAATTAGACATTTTCATTCAATATTGGTACAGTACTTTAGATAGGTTAATATCTAAACCTATCTTTATTGAAGAGTCTTCAGACCATTTCAAATTCAAATATAATTAACATACACTAATAAAAAAATCAACAACAAACACTGAACTTGCAAAGGGTTAAAATTATAAAATACTAAACTTATATATACAATTTAATTAGACAATCATAGTAAAATAAATTTTATTAGTCCAGTAAAACCCCACTAGTCCAGTAAAACCCCACTAGAGATAAAATTATCACATGACTCATCTAAACAGATACTTTACAAACCAGCCAAACAAAAACATCTTAGGACTGATAAGAGAACAGATAAAATGTGAAAAAAAAATCCCATGAAAAATGTCTCTGGAATGTCATTTTCAAAAGTAAGTAAGAAATGTTACTCACAAATGTTATTCATGGCAACTTGGTTCCCATTCTTTAAAATGTAACTTCGGGGTCGGCTACATATTGTAATGTTTGTGGTTTTGTGTCAGGTTTAGTAAATTCCCACAAGAGATATCTATTGCTAGTCCAAGTGAGAGCAGGCTTGTTTTGCTGGCTCAGTGTATATGGAGAAGTCTTCAGACTCATAGCTGAACGCCTTGCAGAACATGCAACAATAGGCTCACGTTACAGGAAGCCAATGGGACGTGGTGGCGCTGTGGGCTAAACCGCAGAAGCCTGTGCTGCAGGGTCAAAAGACCAAGCAGTCGTAAGATCGAATCCACGCAACGGGGTGAGCGCCCGTCGCTTGTCCCAGCTCCCGCCAACCTAGCGGTTCGAAAGCATGCAAATGCAAGTAGATAAATAGGGACCACCTCGATGGGAAGGGAACGGCGTTCCATGTCTAAGTCGCACTGGCCCTGTGACCACGGAAGATTGTCTTCGGACAAAACGCTGGCTCTATGGCTAGGAAACGGGGATGAGCACCGCCCCCTAGAGTCGAACACGACTGGACAAAAATTGTCAAGGGGAACCTTTACCTTTACCTTTACAGGAAGCCAGATTTTGCTTGAATATCAGGAAAAACTTCCTAACTGTTAGAGCAGTACAACAATGGAACCAGTGACCTCGAGAGTAGGTGAGTGCTGGAAGCATTCAAGAGAAACGTAGACAACCACCTGGCATATATCCTTTGATCTGTATTTCTACATTGAGCAGGGGATTGGACCTGATGGGCTCATAGATCCCTCCCAACTTCACTATTCTATGATTCTATGTTTGGAGAGGTACAACGGTGGATTGTGTAATGTTTGGAGTATTGGATTGACACTCGGAGGGAAAGTCCCATCTCTCCTGCACCATGGAACCCACTAGATGAGTTTAGGCAAGCCACTTTTTCTGAGAATAACCTCCCCAACTGGGTTGTTGTGATGAGTGGATGGCCATGTACACTGCACTGAATTTATTGGAGGAAATATATTTTAATCACTGTCAGCAGCATCAAGTCATCATTATCAGAAAACTACCAGAATCAAGAACATCTCAACTTCCAGCATTGGAACTCTACTTGAAGGCAGACAGAAGAGGAAAAGGAGAAGATTGAGCTAGGAATTAAAATGTAACCTAGTTTATCCTAGTCCAGCATTGGGGGCTCCCTCCTGCAAGTAAGAATAGGAAGAATCTGGCCCATCCATTATTTGTTGTAAATGCTTTTGAAGGTTCTTGCTGTACTCATGCTTAACTAGAAAAACTGTGCACATGTATTAGAAAATATGTCTATATTTTGCACATTTTCATGCTAACAATATGAGAAGGTTAATTCTTCATCGCACAGCCTCAGAGAGGAATACAAGTTTTAGTGCTACACTTTTGGCTGGTTTATTGGTAGCACAACTGTAGCCATCTAAATATTCTCCACCCCTTGCTCTGATATTGTCAGCAAAAGATAAGATCATTGTCCTGATTCTCAGAGAAGTGAAGCTCAAGACCAAGTCACCCCAACCCTAGCAGAGCGCAAGGGTGTGGGTTGGAGGGTGTGTGATCAACAGTGCCATCTAAAGTGTTTTGGATTTAATACCCTTTCAGATGAAGCTGTCTGCTAGTTTTGTTTCCAGTTCAGTTTCTCAGATTCATCTCCTAATCTCTTTTAGACAATTCTTCAGGTATGCTCAACTGGGGACTTCTTTTATGTCAATGCAGATTCAATAAGGGTGTGGGCCTGGTTGCTGCATAAACGCTGATGGAAACAGATCATTTGAATCAGAAATAGATCTTCACTGACCATTTCTGCATGAAGAAGTAGACTTGTCCACAAAAGCTTACGTTAAAATATAGCGTTTAGTGTTTAAGGTGCCACTATGTTGTCTTCTTTATTTCAGCTTTGTGGTTGCCGTCACTAACTGGTGTCTCAAACAGCAATTTTAAGATGCTGCCTTTGTCTAGTGTCATACTTATATCAATACTTCACTTGCTTTTCCTCTTTGGATCTAATTTCATCAACAGTTCATATGTGCTCCGTAAGGCCTTGTATCCTCTCAAATGTTCTTTTCTGCAGAGAACCTAGCAACCTACTATTCTACCCAAGGAGCTACAATTTGTCTAGCTCTGTTAAGCTGTGTGTGTTTTTTTTAAAAAATTTTGTTTCTAAGTCTGTGTGTGCTAGCTCACACCCCTTCTCTCCCATATCCCATGAATATATTTTTTAAATGATTTTAAATTTAACTCCTCTTGGTTTAAAACAAAATACTCCAAATTTTAAAAATATATTCTTGCCAACTTGCTCAAATTTTAAACTCACCCCATATTTTCTAAGCATCATACATGTGTGTGTTCTTTGGGGACTTTTGGACTATACTAGAGTCAAGACACGGATCTTTTTTTCCTCTGGCAGGGGTGGAAAACCTAGGCAGAGTCTGGTACAGTTGCTTTTTTTGGGGGGAACACATCTTCATATATGTATAAAAAGGTAAAGGTTCCCTTTGACATTTAGTCCAGCCGTGTCTGACTCTAGGGCGTGGTGCTCATTCCCGTTTCCAAGCCATAGAGCCAGCGTTTGCCTGAAGACAGTTTCCATGGTCACGTGGCCAGCGCGACTAGACACGGAACGCCGTGACTTTCCCACCAAGGTGGTACCTATTTACCTACTCACATTTTTACATGCTTTCGAATGGCTAGGTTGGCAGGAGATGGGACAAGCGACGGGAGCTCACTCTGTCACGTGGATTTGATCTTATGTCGGCTGGTCTTCTGACCTTGCAGCACAGAGGCTTCTGCGGGTTAACCCGCAGCGCCACCATGTCCCACCATATATGTATATACACACATATATGAATTGGCCAATATATAAGCATTCTCTCTCTCTCTCCCACCCACCCCTCTCTATATATATTGTGTGTGTGTGTGTGTGCTTATATACTGGCTAATTCAGTGAGATCACTACTCAGGACGATTTACATTACATGAAGCAAAACTCTATAAACCTAACCAGAATTAACCAAAAAAATACAGTACCCATTATCACCCCAATAAATTTTTAAAAATTACTACAAAAAAGCAGCCACCTGATGACACCTGAAATAAAAATAAAACTGTTAATCAAATTACAGTAAGCCAATAAACTACACAAAGTGGATAAACATAGCATAAGAAAATGTAACATATCATAACATAATGTAATGAAATATGGATTACAAGGTACGTAGATTGAAGCAGGCTGTTGCTGAAGGCCTCCTTAAAAAGTTCGGTCTTCTGAAGGTTTGTATGAAGGAGGTATATCTGACTTCCAAATGAAGTTTGTCCCCCTTACTCCTGAGTAGGCACATAGACATATGCACTGTGCATGAAATGACTATTATGGACATGTTTCAGCCCATGGCATCCAAAAGAACTTGTGAATTCCACACCTATGTTTATTTAAAATGAATCAGGCAACATGTTTGATTAATGAACTATCACTCTTAAATCAAACGGTTAGTCTTTGAAATGCTATGATTTTTGCTTCTCCCCTTTCCTTACCTTTTGCCAACCTACTGAGACAGACTAGCAGGGCTACTTCAGTGGAAACAGGGTAATTAGGATTTTGTCCCTTGTGAAATGGGGTATAATTCCTCAAAGGTACAGAAACCGGGAAGAGTCTTGTTCATCGTTAAAAGCTAACAAACTTTATTAACAGCATCCATTTTGATGTGTCTAATGAGAATTAATGGCCAAAATCTGGATGCTTAGTTTACTAAAGAGCCCTGGAGTAGGCCTCCTCAATCAATGGGAGTTTACTGAGTAAACAACTCCTTAAGTTCCATTGATTGAATTGGATCTACTCTAAACTTCTTAAAGTAAGTTGCAACTAGAGTAGGTACACTTGAATCAATGGAATTTATAGATTGGTTGACTCGTGAAACCGCAACAAATTCAATGGAGATGCTCTAGTTAAACGCAGTGGAACTGTTAACCAACCCTTCAGTGTACATTAACTCAAGTGTAATCTTATCTGTCTTCTGCAGTCAGCCCACTCTTGTTTAAATCAACTGTTTGATGCCTATATTTTGTGTTCCCTCTAGATTAAATCAAAATGGCCGAGGATGAGGTTGCTGCTTTGGTTGTGGACAATGGTTCCGGCATGTGCAAAGCTGGGTTTGCAGGAGACGATGCCCCCCGTGCAGTGTTCCCCTCCATCGTGGGGCGGCCCAGGCATCAGGGAGTCATGGTAGGGATGGGTCAGAAGGACAGCTACGTGGGAGATGAAGCTCAGAGCAAGAGAGGTATCCTGACCCTGAAGTATCCCATTGAACATGGCATTGTTACTAACTGGGACGACATGGAGAAGATCTGGCACCACACCTTCTATAATGAGTTGAGGGTGGCCCCTGAAGAGCACCCGGTCTTGCTCACCGAAGCTCCTCTGAACCCCAAAGCCAACCGGGAGAAGATGACGCAGATCATGTTTGAGACCTTCAACACGCCAGCTATGTACGTGGCCATCCAGGCAGTGCTGTCCCTCTACGCCTCTGGCCGTACCACAGGGATCGTCATGGACTCTGGAGATGGAGTCACTCACATGGTGCCCATTTATGAAGGTTACGCCTTGCCACATGCCATTCCACGACAAGACCTGGCTGGCCGTGACCTGACTGATTACCTCATGAAGATCTTGACCGAGAGGGGGTATAACTTCACCACCACAGCTGAGAGAGAACCCTCTACGCCTCTGGCCGTACCACAGGGATCGTCATGGACTCTGGAGATGGAGTCACTCACATGGTGCCCATTTATGAAGGTTACGCCTTGCCACATGCCATTCCACGACAAGACCTGGCTGGCCGTGACCTGACTGATTACCTCATGAAGATCTTGACCGAGAGGGGGTATAACTTCACCACCACAGCTGAGAGAGAAATTGTGAGGGACATCAAGGAGAAGCTCTGCTATGTTGCCCTGGACTTTGAACAAGAGATGGCCACGGCTGCATCCTCCTCCTCCCTGGAGAAGAGCTATGAGTTACCTGATGGGCAGGTGATCACCATTGGCAATGAACGCTTCAGGTGTCCAGAAGCCCTCTTCCAACCGTCCTTTCTGGGTATGGAATTGCGTGGCATCCATGAGGCCACTTACCATTCCATCATGATGTGTGATGTGGACATCCGCAAGGACCTCTATGCCAACACGGTCCTATCAGGAGGGACCACCATGTACCCAGGCATTGCTGACAGGATGCAGAAGGAGATCACAGCCCTGGCACCTGGTACAATGAAGATCAAGATCATTGCTCCTCCGGAGCGCAAGTATTCTGTGTGGATTGGGGGCTCCATCCTGGCCTCTCTCTCCACCTTCCAGCAGATGTGGATCAGCAAGCAAGAGTACGATGAATCTGGTCCATCCATAGTTCACCGTAAATGCTTTTAATGATCTAAACAACCATCGTCTTTTGCTCATTTTGATTTTAGTTCTGCCTTGTTACAACATCTTCAACATTGATTCAGTTATTTGAATAATTTTAGACTTTCTTTGAATCATCTTATTCTTTAAACAATATCTCTTTATTGTGTTCCTGAAGATTCTTGATTCTGTAAATAAAGAATCAGGTGGATCTTTCCACTATTGGCTCCTGATTAATTATTCTTAGCTTCCTGTTGAATATAAAATATTGTCTTATGTAGCCCAAAGGGGTAGTTTTTAAGTTCTTTTTATTTGATTTCTAGATGAATAAAGCAAATAAACGAATTTCTCGTAAAGTAAGAATTCATTGTGTGTTTCTTGTAGAGCACCATATTCTCTTCATGGAAGCAAGAGAAAATAGCAGATAATATTTATTATTTATTTATTGGATTTCTATCCTGCCCATCTAGACCAAAGGTCTACTCTATAATAAATGACAGAGGATGAAACAGGAAGCAACCATTTTAGGGAAGGGCCCTAAAAGGAAACAAAAGCAGAACTACGAGAATCAATAATTGGGGGTGGGGCGGAGCCACAATTAATAACACTGTGTGATACATGAGAAATGTTTATCAATATGCAATCGTAGTGAAAATTCTGAACAAGGAGGCAAGCACCATAAAGTTACCAGCTCATTTTATGCCTTATCAACTTCTTGCTATCCGAGGAACAATGAGCTTGTCCTTAGAATTCTGAGTTTTCTCTGTATTTGCATATCATATGTTATATATTTTGGTTTCTCTTTCTCTTTTATAGAATGAAACAGACCATAGTTTTAGGGAATGACAGTGGCAAGACTACCTATTCCATTGTTCCTGATCATAGCCATGATAGCATGGACTGGTCACAAACACAACTTTTAGCAAAGTGGTCTGCACTTACTAGATTCCACATATTCAGAGAAAAATCACTCCCATTTGTATCTGGAAATGTTGGAGACCCAAGTTGGGGCCTCTGACACCAGGGGTGGGCAATTGTGGCCTTCTAGATCATGCTGTACCTGCCTTATGCATATATAAAGCCAGTGTATAACCACTGAGCTAGGGACCCTTCCCATATGGTGCATCCCCAGACACATGTGTCACCCAGACAGAATACCATTCAAGCAGTTATTTTTCCAGTGCCTCCAGTGGTTGCCATAGTCCACTTGTTGAAATCTGGACAGTCTAATTTGCATATAAGGTATCTTACCTTGCATGTAATGCAAACTATGCATGCATGTTTTTGCCTTGCTTTTCTATGTTTCAGCCCTGGCATCACATCTCACTGGTGGGACAGAAGGCTGAGCCAGCAGCTCTGAGGGCATGTTCCCCAGGAAAATTTGTGAAAAGCTTAAAGCTAATTATCATTATTATTAACGAAATTGTAGAACATAGGCCACATGATGGTCTCAATAGGCACCATGAGGCATCCTTCAAATATTCGTAAAAGCCAGCCAGAGAGGTTATATATTTGCATAAGTAACGGAAATACACGTTTAGCAAAAAGAAGTTAGATCCCTGCTATCAGTCAGAAGGTATACTGTATTTGAAAGATGAAAGAAACATTGAGCAGTTGGCTGAAGCAGTCGGTTTGATGATTAATTTGCCTGAAGTATACGATCCAAGCTGAAAGGAAAATTGTAACCACACAGGAGTATCTTTTGTGTAACCGATATGCTGTTAATAAAATGACAAATTGGTTCATATGAAAACTCCACTTGTTTTGGGGTAAAAATAAGAGAACTGGTGGAAAAGCTGAGAGATGAGACCTGGTAAAAAGTATAGAAATCTCCTGAGGTAAAAAAGTTGTTGGTATAGTAAAAGTTTAAAATCTAAAGCTTTCTCTGAGGTAATAAGCTTAGGTAAGATAGTACAGTAGTAGGAAAGCTGGAGAGAAAAAAATAGAAAGAAAAAGATTTGAGTTTAAAACACCACCAACAGTGAACTTCTGAGGTATTAAATCTGGGGTAATGTAAGAAGTCACTGGAAATAATAACCTGGTTACTGAAAATAAAGTGGCAGATTTTGAATTCCAGTATTTCCCTGAGGTAAATGTTTCAAGGTAATTGCTAAGAAATACATATAAATGCCTTCCAAAAGGTTAAAAGCCAGAAATGGAAACTCCGATTGGTGAAAAAATGCAAGCTGCTGAGAGATTTGAGGAAATTATGCCCACAAACCCTACTATTGTTGATAATCCAGAGAATTTGGAAGTCTGGAAAGAAATGGAAAAGGAACAGATCAAATTGAGATTAAGGGAACTGGAATTAAGAAAAGCGGGAAAGGAAAAAGAAATTGAGAGAGAAACAAATGGAATTTTGGCTAAAGATGAATTAGAATTAGCAGCTCAGTCTTCAAATAATAACATCTCAAACAGGAATGATATAATGATCCCCAAACTGAGACCAAGATATTATAAAGGAGAAAATAACTGACTCATTTTTTACCTCCTTTGAGAACTTGCTGGGATTGTAACATCTCAGATCAGGACTGAATGTCATGTATTAGGTCTCACATTTGTGGTGGTTTCATTGAAATTTTAGGGGGAAATGAGAATGAGGAAGCCCAGAATTATGATTTATATAAATACAGAGTGAAGCAAAGGTTTGGGCTGACAACAGAACATGACAGGAGAGTGTTAACAAATATATTTAAATGTAAATAAAACACTTACTGTATACTCAGATAGCTTGTAGATAGGATCATTTTCCGAATAGCTGGATTGAAAGGTTAGGTGTGGAAACTATGGAGCAGTTAAAAAATGTAATAGGCTTAGAACTGTTTTATTTGGTGTTACCAAATGAAATTAGATGGTTAGTTCAGGATAAAAATCCTCAATCCATGGAACAGGGAGGAGATACTGTATGTCAGATATATTGGTAAATTTAAGAGAAAATAAATACAATGAAATATTTCAAAACAAAGGGTGAGTAGACACACCTAAACCTTATAAGAAAGTGGCCGCCAGAACAAGGGAAGACTTGCAAGCAAAATGAGGGAGAACAGAGATAAGCAGATTAAAGAGGGGGAAATCAGAAAATATGTCATAAATGTGGTAAAGGACATATTAAATAGCAATGCAAAGAAAGACAGGTGAAAGGAACATTCCCACAGAATGAAAAGTATGTTTACCAGGTACTTGTTTGCAAGTTTGTATTTGAAAGAAAAAGCATTGTCAGGAAAATAAATCAGTTTTACTTAAAGGAATTAGAGCAGAAGCCGTGGACGTTCCTGTGGCTAGAGCGAGAATTACATGGCTGGCTGTCCTCCTAAAGATCTTATATCAGACTTTATAGGAGCTACCCTTTCCAAAGAAGTACCCTGTGGGGTGTAGTTGACAAGAGTAAGGTACGTGGCCTCAGAAGAACTGGGTTTAATTCCTCCTAGGCCGTAGAAGCTCTCGCTCTCTCTCTCTGTGTAACTACCCCTGCATTTCTTGCAGAAGAGTTCTGGGGTCTACAAGTCAGAAAAATAACTTCTCCAATATATACCGTACAAGAGATTTAAGGGAGCTTTACTCCAGAAGTGCCTCCTTATGTTCTTGTGTCGTCACATTAGCTATGGGGAAAAGCCTTCCTACTGTGAGCTGGTTGGATAGCTCAGTGAGTTGTAGTACCTGGGGACAAGAGCCAGCCCACGTCACCTTGGGCAAGCTGTACAGTGCCAGAATGCTCCCAGGAGGGAATGCAAACCACGTCAGTACTCTCTACCCAGAAAACATTGAAAAATCAGAAACGACTTGACAACGCATAATTATTATAAAACCTGGAAAAGTAACATTGGCTGGCTACTAAAGCACCAGTTGTTAGCTTTTAAGGTATCTCAGGTCACTTCACTGGTTCTGTGGCACTTTATACACTACATTATACTGTAATATAAACATTTGATCAGTTTTCCTGAGATGCATGAAGCTCAAATCTCAATTGGGAAGTATGCATATACAGTGCATTTGCATATAAATTACATGCTGACAGTGGTCGACTGTGGTGGCAGGTGGGCATGAAACACTATGTTTTCCACTTTTTATGAAAGCCTGTGTAATTTACAATCTTCAATTTTGTCTTCGAAAGTCCTATTCAACACTGAATGAGAGAAAAAAATCCACAGTGGAAGGACATTCAGAATTAAGAACACAGGCTCCAGCAGAAAAGATAAGCACCAAAATCTATTTGGAAAAATACTATGAAATGGGCAGCATCAATGTAAGATAGAAAGCTGCCTGAAGCTCAGTGCAAATTGCTGGTGTTTCAGGGAGATAAGCTCCAGTGCCTACAGTTTAGGTTAGAAGGAACCAGTTCAGAGCAGTATGAAGATTTGCATGTTATAAAGTGTGTTACATTCTGAACACATCATTTAGTTGAATATTGTCTTTTCCACACCACTGTTGTACAGTGGTGCCTCGCTTAACGGCGATAATCCATTCCAGGAAAATCACCATTAAGCAAAAACATCGTAAAGGGAAAATAAAAAGCCCATTGAAATGTGTTGAAAACCTTTCAATGCATTCTAATGGGCTTAAAACTCACCATACAGTGAAGATCCTCCATACGGCAGCCATTTTCGCTGCCTGTATAGCGAGGAATCCGTCCCTAAACACAGCGGGGAGCCATTTTATTTACCTGGCGGCCATTTTGAAATCGCCGATCAACTGTTTAAAAAACATCATTTAGCGAAAAATCGGTTCCCGAAGCAGGGAACCGATCATCGCAAAGCGAAATTCCCCCATTTAGACCATCGTTTTGTGATTGCAATTGCAAAAAGATCATCGTAAAGCGCATTTGTCGTAATGTAGGGCAATCGTAAAGCAAGGCACTACTGTATAATGAATTACTGTATCTGGGAAATGTAGTACATTGTAATATTTTAATACTGTTTTTGGAGTTTTTGTCAATGTTAATAACTTTTCCATGCTCCCTACTGGATGCAATTTAAAGTCTTCAACAGAGGCCCTTTTGTGTCTACTACAGAGGTCTGTTTCCAGAGACAGCGGGCTCTTGGTATACAGCTGTTACAAAACTGAAAGCCCTTTTGTGTCTGCTACAGAGACCAAGACAAGACTGTGGTTGGCACAGTCCATACCATAATATGGACCTCCGGGTGGTAAGAAACTATTCCCTGCATTGATGTTATAATCTTGTCTAATGCTTTTCTCATTTCTTAATTTAGCACTGCTATTCAGTTCTGATTTAGGTTCTTTACCTCCTATTCCTCAATTTGATTTTCTTATCTGCATCACCACTGCGCTTGGAGTCTACCAAGATCTTGGCCTCCAAGACTGGCAACCACTGGTCTAGCCAGAACCCCCTCTTCTGCCTCAAATGCAGAACTGGATTTGCTACCATGTTTCCCTGAAAAAAGGACAAGGTCTTATATTATACTGGTCTAGCCAGAACCCCCTCTTCTGCCTCAAATGCAGAACTGGATTTGCTACCGTGTTTCCCTGAAAATAAGACAGGGTCTTATATTAATTTTTGTTCCAAAAAACACATTAGGGCTAATTATCAGGGGATTTGTTTTTCATGTACAACAATCTACATTTATTCAAATACAACCATATCATCTTCTGGTTGTTGCACCATGGTGGAGGGCGGGGTTGTCACTTAGCCAAGGCTTATTTTTGGGGTAGGGCTTATATTACGAGCATCCTGAAAAACCATACTAGGGCTTATTTTCAGGGAAACAGGGTATCAAATTTGAAACCAAGTGGGAATGTTTCTTACATTCTTGGATGGGCCACATAGCACAGCATAACCTGCTTCCAACCAGGAGCATGGTCACTCCTACACCTATGCAGAATATTGAGAACTGATCTGGAATCTCATGCATAAAATGCATCTGTTTTTCAGTTGAACAAGCATCAACAAAGGAGCCACAAACATATGTTTATTATTCCATTCTGAAGATTTATTTTTCCCCCCCAAAAAACACACAAAGAGGGACATTCACATCAAAATCTTGCTCCACAAGCATCAACAAAGGAGCCACAAACATATGTTTATTATTCCATTCTGAAGATTTATTTTTCCCCCAAACAAACAAAGGGGCACATTCACATCAAAATCTTGCTCTATCATGGAACATTAGGACAGCTTCAATTATACTAGAATGAAAGCAGGGCTATATCACCAGCAGCAAGGAAGAGAAGGAAAAATTTCGAGGAATACACAAGCACAGGCTTCCAGTGATAAGAATTGCCAAGCAACAGAAAACAAGAGAGCCGATTCAGGAGGACCACATCAAACATTTTTTAAAAATCTTATTTTGTTTGTCTAGAAACAAAAGACACTCAAAAGCATTTACGGTGGACAATGGACGGACCAGATTCATCATACTCTTGCTTGCTGATCCACATCTGCTGGAAGGTGGAGAGAGAGGCCAAAATAGAGCCCCCAATCCACACAGAATACTTGCGCTCCGGAGGAGCAATGATCTTGATCTTCATTGTACTGGGGGCCAAGGCTGTGATCTCCTTCTGCATCCTGTCAGCAATGCCTGGGTACATGGTGGTCCCTCCTGATAGGACCGTGTTGGCATAGAGGTCCTTGCGGATGTCCACGTCACACTTCATAATGGAGTTGAAGGTGGTCTCATGGATGCCACATGATTCCATACCCAGAAAGGAGGGTTGGAAGAGGGCTTCTGGACACCTGAAGCGCTCATTGCCAATGGTGATCACCTGCCCATCAGGTAACTCATAGCTCTTCTCCAGAGAGGAGGAGGATGCGGCCGTGGCCATCTCTTGGTCGAAATCCAAAGCAACATAGCAGAGCTTCTCCTTAATATCTCTCACAATCTCCCTCTCAGCTGTGGTGGTGAAGCTGTATCCCCTCTCCGTCAAGATCTTCATGAGGTAATCAGTCAGGTCACGGCCAGCCAGATCTAGACGCAGGATGGCATGGGGCAAAGCGTAACCTTCATAAATGGGCACCGTGTGGGTGACTCCATCTCCAGAGTCCATGACGATCCCTGTGGTACGGCCAGAGGCGTAGAGGGACAGCACTGCCTGGATGGCCACATACATGGCTGGCGTGTTGAAGGTCTCAAACATGATCTGAGTCATCTTCTCCCGATTGGCTTTGGGGTTCAGAGGAGCTTCGGTGAGCAAGACCGGGTGCTCTTCAGGGGCCACCCTCAACTCATTATAGAAGGTATGGTGCCAGATCTTCTCCATGTCATCCCAGTTAGTAACAATGCCATGTTCAATGGGATACTTCAGGGTCAGGATACCTCTCTTGCTCTGAGCTTCATCTCCCACGTAGCTGTCCTTCTGGCCCATCCCTACCATGACTCCCTGATGCCTGGGCC